TTTCTATGGGTGCGATATCCTCTCTCGAGAGCAAACAGCTAGTGATCCAGGAAAACAAACTGTGCTACTGCAGAGCCTTTGCTGCCTCTGCCAAGGAGGAAGCTCTGAGTTCAGAGTGTGGGACCATCCCGGGCTTTAGGACTGAGAAGATCTCCACCCCCACTGTGACCCCGTCCACAGAGAGCGGGGGCTTGGCCAGAGGGCCCAGCAGGGCAAAAGCAGGAATAATGCCAAGTGCAAATCTCCATTTTCCAGGATGTTTGCTAATTCTTTTTTTTTTTTCATTATTTTTAAATGAATACAAATTGAAAATGAATCAAACATCATAGAAATGTTGGATTCATTTTCAGTTTGCATTCTCTTAAAAAATAATTGCACACACATCCATCCTCATGCACACACATACACGCTGCCTTTCCCACACACACAAATACATGCAGGTACGTAGACACGCAAACGTGTCCAGGTACATATCTATACAAATAGATGCACATGTACACACAACCTGCCCCCCCATAAGCACACACACACACGCACACACACACACACACCCCAGCCCCAAGCTGTCCTCTGGAGCTCGCTGGTTATCCTCAGAGAGTCGTAGTTAGCGGTTGTAGTCAGAGCTCAAGCAGAAGCCTTTCCAGGAGGCATGACAGCTTGTGCAAAATAAATATGTATGTTGACTTTGGTTAGTCTATAAAGTCCAGATCTGTCCTGCTCTTCTACTTCTATTCACGTGTCCTGGTCTCAGGAGCAGCCCCCACGCACTGAGGGGCTCAGCCACTGTCATAGCTGTAAGACCCATTTGCAGGCAAACACTGGTGCTGTCTCCTGGACGCTGCGCAGAGCCCGCGGCCTGGCTCCCACCCTCCTGGCTGGGATACAGAAACCGGGAAGTCCAGGCAGGAGCCTGAGGGGCTCTCAGGTGGTGCTGGCGCAGCACATCCAGCCAGCACAAGCACCCACATCTAGGACATCAGCTGCGAACGAGCCAGGGGTCATAGCAGTTTAGTAACCCATTTCAGAGGCCCCAAATCTACTGGATGATATTTAAGCACTTCGATTTTGCAGCAGAAAATGCCCCAAATGGTCCATTTTGTCCTACAAACACAACCAGCAGCGCAAACCCCAGTCTCAAGGGAGGTAATAGCACCTTTCCCAGGTTGGCTCAGCTCCAAGAAGGGCCTGCAAAGAGGCGACGCAGGCGGCTCTGAAGCTAGGCAAGCCCAAACTTTGGAGAGCACAGCCCTGCACGTGGCAGCGGCACGTCCCCAGCCCTGCGGTGAGTTTTTTGCCTTCACTGCGCCTGACAAATCTTCCCAGTGAGCACCGTGTGCACCCTCTGCTCCACCGGAGCAGCAGGAGAGAGGAACCCACCTTTGGTTTGTTTTGCACTGATCTTCTCTTGCAGCAGTTGTTAGGAGGCTCCGGGGTTGTGTCACGCTCGTACGAAGGTCGCCCCTGCCCTTAGAGCCGTATCGCAGCCCGCCAACCACCTGTGATCAGACCTCAGGGAAGGAACTGAACGGCGGCACCTTTCTGCACCCGGTTTGCACAGTGGGTGGAGGCCAGCATGATTTCATCAGCAGCCAACGGCCCTGCTTAGTCTTGTTCCTACTTTCTCCCCAGCCTGTCTGCGACCTCCCCTGTGGCACACCTGTGAATCAGGGCTGCGGAAGAAGAGCAGATCCTAAACTTTCCCTCAAATTGCATCAAGGGAAGCTGGGGTGAGATATCCGGAAGAGTTTTTTTCACGAGGAGGGTTATAAAGCACTGAAACAAGCTCTCCAGAGACATGGTGGACTCTCCATCCTCAGAGGTTTTGAAGGGTCGACAAAGCCTTAGCTGAGATGATGAGGAGCTGGTGCATGTCGGGAAGGGGCTGTGAAGCCAGTTAGCAGGGGTGGGGAGGACACAGCACAGCAGCCCCTCGGCTCATAACTCATAACTTTCCACCCCACACAGACGGCGTGCCAGAGCTGCACACAGGGAGTTAGGGGCGTCCATGTGACAAGAGAACTGCGACCCCAAGCCTGGAGATGCTTGGGGGGGACATGAGTGAGGTTCACAAAGCGGTGAAGAAAAAGTCATGAGGGATTTACAACCAACTCTGTCTCACCAGACATGAAATGAGCGGGCCGTCAGTTCAAAACGAACAGCAGGAAGTTGTGTATCACCCGGCATGTGCTCAAGGGGAAGCTTATTGCCACCGGATGCGGTGGAAGCTGATCGGTTTGCCCCAAGGGCTGTTTCCCATACCTGGAGGAAAGGCGCCTCCGCAGCTATTGCACATGGGAGGGAAGGGCACGGCCTCTGCTCCACAATATCTTGGACCTTCAATGCTGGAGACTGCATGCATGGGCAACTGGTGCCTCCTGAGTCTGGGGGGGCACCAGGTCACCAACGGGGGGGTCCCCCAGCAGCTGATCACCAAGCCAGCAGTGAAACCGGACGTGCACTTCCAGTTTCATGGCTGGCGTTTCCAGAGGGTGCAAGACCGATCTCAGGGGGTGCAAGTGCACCTGTGTTAGGGTAGCATGTCATATTTTATGCTTTAAAGCTGCACCTGTTTACAGAGTGGTGAATTATAGTATTGTTTAAAGTTTTCTTTTACATTCAGCCTAAAGTTCTGTATGGCCTCGCTGTTATCTGAACTTTTTGTTTTGCTGGCGTTTGCAATATCAGCTGGCCTTGTTTCTTGCAAGCAGCTCACGGCCTTGAGTTTCTTTCTTTTGTCTATCACTGTGAGAAGTTTTTCTAACACAACATAGTAATAGTTTTGTTCCTAGCTCAGATTAACTGAACTTGGCACCAACCAACTGAATCAGAGGGCTGAAACGATTGGCTATGTTAATGAAAGTGATAAAGGAGACCAATGGACAATGCTTAAAGCAAGGCGCAACTAAGAGGTGTGCTCATAATGGGGATGTTGAACAAAGGAATATGTTGACAGGATAAAATATGAACAAAATGCTGACTGCAGAGAGACCAATCCAAAAGCAAGGAGTCATCAAAGGAGGCAAGTTAAAGCAAAGCATAAAAGGGGGAAGCAAGAAATTTAAATGTGTCCTCGTCATCCTCATCATTTACACCACGAACCCGGCTTTCAACACCTGTCTGCGTCAACGACGCACCGTTTGCTTCAGGAACTGAGTGGCCGTCTTTTCTGTGAAGCAAAGTAACATCGGGGATTGGGTGAGATCATTGTACTAACTGGTTTTCTCTCTCATGAATATAGAAACTGCTGAGATAATACTTGTACTAATAAAGTTAACCTTTGATTTTAGGACACTGAGTGACCTCTGTTTGTATTTCACGTTCCATTGAAGGGCTAATTTGTGCTTTAGCGATCCCCAAGTGCTCTCTGCTGATCAGTGGTGCAAACACCTGCATGCGCCCCCATGCAAGGACTGCAAGGCAGCAAGGAGCAGGGGTAAAAGCCCCGGTCAGATCCAAATCACTCTCCCATCCCGCCTCTGTTCCCTGCTGCCGTGTGAGGCAGGACTCTGGGCTGCACGGACCTACGGTCGGACCCAAGGCCTGATGGATCCGCAGCAGCCAGCACAGGTCCTGACCCCAGCGACGGCAGGGCTCCAGCCATGGAGCACATGCCCCTGGTCCTGGGCCAGCTCCGGGGCCTCAGCTACTTTGCAAGAGGCACTGGAGCTGGCTCAGGCTGCCTGCACGGGCCATGATGGCCCCGATGGCAAAGCCAGAGGAGCTCATGAGGGGTGTTGCTTAATCAGCACCTCTGATGTGCAGATGCACGTCTCTGTTATCTCTCTGATGAGCTTGCAAGGAGACTCCTGCCAAGCCCAGGCCTGGGGGGTTTCTTTTTCCAGGAAGAATATTTTCCCACCTATGCATGCTTACTTGATACCTGTGTCTCTCCCTTCTCCCTTTCTTTGATGGGGATGTGCTGAGTCCTTAGCACCCTGTCCCCGGGCAGCTTTCCTGCAAGCACTGGGTGTGCTCCTATTCCTGCAATCATTGCAGCAGAGTTTAACCCCCCAAATTCCCAGCCCTGCACTGGCAGGCAACTCGTGTCACCCCTGCTCCTTACCCCGAGTGCATCCAAGGGCTATAGGGTGCTCCATGGCTGGGGGGTTCAAGGGGATCAAGACGGGTCACGGCAAATGCAGGGGACAGCAGGCTCCTTCCAGCCCTGCCTTCCTATGGGAGGGGGTGACCCAGGCTCAGTCCCTGACCTCAGCTGGGCAACACGGCATGGTGGGAGGAGGTCTGTCTCTTGCCTGGCTGAACTGCCTCACCTGCCCACTCTGAAGGAGGCCTCGCTGCAATCCCTCAACAGGGATCGGGGCCTCCTTCCAGCCTGGAGCTGGGAGCCAGGCTCTCCGGGATGGTGGGGCTGTGGTCCCTGTGTGCTGGCTGTACCTGGCTCCCACCTCAGCATCTGGGTTGGGAGCATCCCGGCCAGGCTCCTCCTCTGTGCGCCTTCCCCGCGGTACCTAGGAGTCGAGGGGGAATTAGAAAGCGATGCAAGGAGCTCTTTGTTGCGTGTTGGTTTTTTGACCCGTGCCTTTCCAGCAGCGTCTCCAGTGCCCTGCTGCCCTGACGGATGGTCCCCACATTAATAGATCGTGTAACCTGATGCAAATGGCTTGTGCTTGAGCTTAGCAGGCTTCCTGCCTGTTGCAGCAGGAAAGAGGTCATTGCAGGAAGGAGAAAACCATGGACCGGGAGGCAGGACAAACAAGCCAGCCCCCTTTGCTTCTCACCACCTCCTTCGAGAGAGAGATGCAGAGCAGAGGACAGTGCTTGGGGTGTCTCCAGTGAGTGGAAATGAGCCAACAGCCCCATTCGGGGGTCTCCTCCCCACCGTGGCTCCATGCTTTGTGCCGTGCTGTTGATGCCCGCCTTGGACCTGCTGCAAATATCCTCTTTCCCTGCGGCTGCAGCTTTCCTAGCTTCACGGTTGTACCGTGAGGGTGTTCCTGTCGCTGGGTGTTCGTGACTACAGTTTCCCTTTACCCCTTCAAAGTCACACCCTGAGCTTCCTGTACAACTGCATGGGGCTTTTCCTTTTTTTCTCCTCTCAGCAACTTTGCTGGGCTTGTTTAGCTATTGCCTGGCTCTGACCTTCCCGTGAATCGCCTGCTTCACTGCGTTCCCTGCCACGGGTACCCTGTGAGGCCAGCCTTTGGCTTTGGCGCCTTTGGTGCAGCTTGGGGGGAGGCGTGCTGCAGCTTTGAGATAACTCATTGTGGGGACCTGGTACAGTAGCCTAAAGGCTGCTCTCGGGGGGCAGCAAAACATGCCTTATGGCTCGGTGGGGCATGCAAAGCCCCAGCAGCTCCCCTGAGAGGGAAGATCAGAGGGTGCTCTGCTCGGGAGGCTTGGGGTTTGCAAGCAAAATGACAGCAGAAAGAGCACAATGTACAGGAAAGGCCACACCTGATACAGTGCAGCCACGGAGCCGGAAGCACAGAGGAGATGGAGTGATACAGAAAGAAAAAGAGAGCACGAGAGAAGCCAAGTCGAAGAGGAAGAAGGTCAAACCCATCCCTGGCTGCCTTTAGACTGGAACACGCTGAGGTCCCGTATACCTTCAGCGCTTCCCGGGGAGCATCCCCTGCACCCGCGCTTGCAGGCCTGGTGCGAAACAGGAGTCAAAGCGAAGTGGGGAGAGAGCAGCTGACAGCATCCTAGCCACCAAATGCCGTAAGTATTAACCAGAGGGGCTGGGTTTGCTCGCACGCCAAACACAGGGAAGACAGAATAGACTGGCAAGACAGACTAGATCGTGGCAAACACTTCTCCAGAAAAAAAAGCCATGTGCTGAAGCAATTGAAAAAACTCATTTGTTTCAACACCCCCATTCTGGGGCGCCAGGCGTTTGGTCCAGGTCATTAGCTCAGAGCTCAGTGCAGCTGCTGAGCATTAAAAGCAGAAAGCTGCATGATCACAAGTTGTAGTGAGATGGTGTTTAACTGGGATTTGAAGTCGGCACCCAGCCTGGGGTTAGTACAGTCGGATGGTTCTGACTTGGCTGTGTCATTGCAAAGGATTTGGGGAAAGGGAGATATAAAATTCTGGAGCTGGAAGCAAAGGTTAGAAATGGGGTGGTTTTGTGGGGGTGGCCCCTGCCTGCCATCAGCGTAACATTGAACGGGGCTGATGCCAAGGTCAGCTGAAACCAGAGAGGCCTCCCCTGGACGGCGGTGGAGTTTGGATCGTGCCCTTTTTGTTCAACAGCCCCAGTCATCCTGAAAACGAAAGTGAGCAAAGAAGTCCCTTATGCAAACTCTGGCTGCTTCCTGCGATAAGCTCTTGTACAAAGCCCTTGCTGCCTTTGTTGTGTTCAGCAGCCGGCTGGGGGGACTCGGGCACTGGGAAGTCAGGCCTTGCAGCTCCCGTAAAGGTTTCCCCCACCCTGTCGGCATTTCTGTTGCATTTGCGCCTCAGCAAGAGAATGCACAGGAGAGAAACCCTGCCCTGAGTTGCAGCTACATTGCAACCGACTGCTCACAAGGTCCCATGGCTGGAAACTGGTGAGTTTTCCTATTAAGAGCTTTGCCACTGGCCTGGCTCCTGGTCCCTGGTGCTGTGTTCAGTGGCTTCCCCAGGTAGCCGGCCGGCATGCAGGCATATAGCCTAAGCCCATCACTGAGGAAAGGATCATGGCCTCAAGGTCCCTTATGAAAGGTGGCAGGAGCGGGAACTGGAGGGCTGTGGCTGTGGGCAATGGCAGGGCCAAGTTAAGTAGGGACTTGCTTTGGGGCTCTCCCTATGCCTGAAGTAGGGTGTTGGTACCCAAAAGCTTGCAAAGAACTATTTTCCCAACTGTTTAGTTGGTCTAGTAAAAGATATCACATTTTTACCCAAAGACTCTTGTCTGTTTATTCAAACCAGGCTTCCTGCAGCCAGGGATTTGCATGAACGGTTGCACACCCTGCCTGCAGCTCAGGGTGTGGGGAGAGAGCTGTCTCAGTATTAAAGCCCTGGATTTAAAAGCTACACAACAAGGCAATAGATGAGAGCCTGGCCAGACCCACGGCAGAGGCTGAGGGGCTGCAGAGCCATGGCCCCAATCCTCCCCAAAACAGAGCGACCATCGCCAGAGAGGAGTGCCCAGGCCCCGGCTCTCTCAGACACCGCAGCATGCAATAGTTCCCCGAGCTCCATCCCAAAGACAGTTTGGTTTCTTTCCCCGGCTTGGCAGCCTGTTCCCAGCATGTCTTCTTGGAAACCGGCTTCCTCTGCTTCCCAACTTGGTGTATTCATGGCCTCTTCATCCCCGGGTGGTCTTGGGCCAACCTTGCTCTTGAGCTTACGTGGCTCCTCAGCCATCCAGGCGTTTCCTTCCCTTTGCTCTGTCCAGCTATGCAAACCCAACTCTCGGCCTCCTCTCCATGGACAGGCTGTTCCTTCCCACCCAGCCCCTCTCTGCACCTGCTGCGCTGCGAGTTCATCTTCCTTGCCCAGACAAGCTCTCCCCGGGTCATCGTACAACAACATTCATCTGTACCTGTCTCTGCTGGACATGCATCATCTGGTGCATGCTGGGTTCGAATGACATTTTTTTCTCGGGGGGCTGCCAAAAAAGTTGAGCAATGCCCAAATAAAATTGGACACCCCCCCAGGTTATGATCTTTTAATCCTACAATGCGGGGGGTCATCTTTTACAGGAGGCTCAGCCCCTTTGAGCTCCTGCGTAATTCGAACCCTAGGTGCATGCATTTGTGGGGTTTTTGTGGCTGCTGGAGGCCCAGATCAACCAGAAACCCCAGGTCGGGCTTCTCTCTTGCTGCCCATTAATCCCCTCCGTCTTATAACAGAAATTCTGGTTGCAAGTCGCAAGTGCTGGCCTGTTTGTTTTTAAGGAGTACAAAGACGGTTTCCTGTCTTCAAGGGCATCCACTTTTCCCAGGACCTTCTCTCAACCTCCTTTGTGTCTTGCAGCACGCTCCACCAGCCTACTCCCCACTTTTCGTGCCAAGGTTATTGATAAAGTGTTGAGCAAGATTGGTCCCGAGACCTGTCCTTGAGGAATTACCTCCCTCCTGCCTGATAACCTCTCCTATCAGCGTGATGCATTGTCCTCTCCTCTCTGCACAGTTCCTCACTCCTTTCACTGTGTGCTCTGTTAACATAATTTAATTAAGCAGGGTAGCAGGATCCCAGGGTATTGGCATCTGGCTCCAAGTGTTTATTCCCCTTGTTCTTTGTTTCCTGAATGAGACCAAATGGCCTGCAGGAAACACGAAGCCCATCGACAAAGAGTTAACCAGTATCACAAAGCAAATCAAGTGCCAGGGCTGTTTCAACAGACGCCCTTTTTGAGTTAAGTATTTCCAGTAAGTCTTAAAAAATGCTGTCCTGCTAAACAGATGTGGCCAACAGCAGCATGACGTCAACTGAGGGCTGCGGGGAGTTTTCCTCCTGGAAAGTTTTGTGTCTCCATCCATTGCTCAGCAAGGAAGTTGGTTCCCTCTGCAATGGCTTTTGCATGCTGAATCTTCCCACATGTCCGAAGCTCGCTGGCACACTGCTATTATTTCCTTCTGTTGCAAATCTTGGGCAACCCGATGCTGATTTCTTTGCTATCCATTAAGTATCAGGTGACAAGGCTATCCATTAAGTAGCAGGTGACAAGGCATTATGTTCAGAGCAGGGTTAGAAGCAGATCAGCCCTGTAAATCCCTAAGTGGGACTGAGGCACAATGTAGAGCCGTGACCTAAATCAGCTGCTGCAAAACTGGCTGAGAATCACCATTTTAGGTGAAAAATATCCTAGGATGCCTGGCACTGGGCTCTTGTGCATCTTCAGTGAGATCCACACCTAAGTTCCCACGTCTTTGGTAGCATCAGAGTGTTACAGTAGCTGTGCTGGTCCAGGACATGTGCAAGAAAAAGGGGCTTTTTTGATGATATCTTTTATTGGACCCGCTGTACAGTCAGAAGAGACATTGGACAAGATTTGAGGAAGGGCACTTTGCTATAGATGGGGGGTTGAATTGTGCTGGGAGTTGTGCAAACAGTGAGTGAGATGAACGTGCCGAGCTTGCAGTGCTCACTGATTAATACAAGCAGGCTGGCGAGAAGGGAAGTGGACAGACGCGGCCTGTCCCCTTTTTACCAACGGGGAAATGAGGCCTGGAGAAATGAAGACACTTAGGAGGCTACATTTTGTTTTGTGAACCTGAAAGAGACGTGCCTTTACTGCTAAAGACAACGGGACTAGAAAAACAGCATCTTTTGAGTAGTGTTTGCCTAGCCTGTTGTGGTTTTTTTTAATATATAACTCATGTTACAGCAAAGCAATTTCCTTTCCAAGAAAAGTTATTTGTATTTGTTTGCATTTTAAACAGAGTCATCTAGCCATAGGCCCATGGCTAAACTTCCCAGTTTCTTTTTTTTTCCTGGAGAAAAACTTGTGTTGTGTTAGATGTGACCACATCATTTGCAAAAAAATCCTAGATCTGCCCTTGCGATGCCCCTGCAATTCACTGCTTCCTTCTGCTGGTGTATGATGCCCCTTTACTCCCAAGGGAGAATTTTCATTTCAAACACAAGCAAAGATAGCAAAGGAAACAGTACTGCACCTACATATCCCACATGCAGCGGATCTCCTCTTTCTATCGTCTGTTTGCAAATCGAACAGGAAAAGGTCGTGGTTTTATCGGCACGTAGCATTCAGAATGATTTCCTGACGTGTGTCTGTAGGCAAACAGCAGCGTTCGCTGTGAGCAGAGCCAGGCAGAAATGGGGTGGGAGGGCGGCAAGCCTTTTTTGGTTCCTATTTTTCATACTTGGTTAGATTTGGTTCCTATTTTTAAATCTAAATTTGAAACTCTACCACAGTTTTGACATGCGGGAAGGCATGGCCACAGCCCATGAGAGCTAAATAACAAGGTACCAATTTCCCGCCAGACAGTGAAACCATCGGAAGGGCACAGGTTTTTGTCCTTCCCCAAAACCTCCACTCACATTACCGTTGGGTTTTTCTACAGCTCCACAATGACAGTGGCAGCGGTTTTGATGCTCCTGCCTGTTGTGATATGGTATCTTCAAACCCTCCTGGAAAGCCCACAGGTAAAATTTTCTCCAAGTAGCTCTTTCCTGCAGTTTGAGCCCTGTGAGACTGACTTCTGGCTCTGGAGCAGTTGTGAGCAGTGCCCAGGACTTCACGGGAAGGAGGAAACGAATACAAATAGGAGCCCAGAAGTCATATACAGCAATCACGGGGGGGGGGGAGTCCCTTCCTGGCCTCTGCAGGGCAGGCAGCAGGATCTCTACAGCTCTCACACTCAGGTTGAATGTCCTTTCAGCCCCATCACGGGGACATCAAACACCTGAATCCCTTCTCTAAGACCCTGGCTTATAGCCAAAGTCCCCAGGATCCACCCCAAATGCATAATTGATATCAGACTCCTGCCACACAACAACCCCGTCCTCCTCAGCCGCGGGACCCCCAGCTCCATGTCCTCTGCAGATGATGCCAGCGCGCAGCTGGGTCTTGCAAGGAGGAAGAGGTCTCCAGGCCAAGCCCTGCGGGACAGGCCTCACCATTTCAGCATATATGTCGTGTCCCTTCCAGCCAACTCTACATGGGGAGCACGAGGCTGACCCGGTGGGGCGAGAGGGTGACTGGATCCCAGGAGCAGGGGGGGAGAGTCTCCCATTCAACCCCCACCTGACACCAAGGCGGGGAAGTGCACGGTGCTGAATCTCCACCGCTCCTGTTCACTTGCAAAAGTAGCAGCAAACAACACGGCACAACGAAACTGCTCCTTGTTTCCCTCTTGTCGTCGGTTCCCTCTTACCCTGCTGACGTGCGACCTTCCCCGACGCAGCACACACGCCGTCCCCTTCGCTTCGGCTGCGGCCGAGCTCTGTTGAGCACAGGACACCGTCTAGCTGGGAACAACCCTGCTGGAGCCACAGCAGTCCTCTGTGCTGCCCGCCCTTCTGCTTCCCCGTCCCGTGTTGTACGTGCAGTCATGTGTCTCTACAGTCTCCATGCTGAATCTAACGACATCGGTTTCCTTTTGTTCACGTCTGCATTGGACTTGCTTCCTCTTTCACCCGATATTTCCCTTCCTGAAGTCGCAGAGCTGCTTAGCAAGGACACTGGGAGGTGACCTCTTTTATGGGACCAACTGCCCAGTGGGAAAGACAGAGGCAAGCGTGGGAGCATCAGTCTGAAATCAGGCAGCCGGCAGGGCAGGATGGCACCTTAAAGACTAACTGGGTCAGAGAGGCATGCACTGTCATAGGCAGCGACCTGCCCTCGTGCCTACCACTCCCAACACCAGGGCCTGCCTCAGTCACCCCGGGCCACTCCAGCCATTCTCCGCTTGCCGATCATCTTCCCCAACCCCCGCAAGCCCTGCCTCTCAGCAGGGATTCAGCATAGCCACGGCCCCTTCTCTTGGCCCTGCCAAGCCCACAGCCTCAATTCTGCCCCCATTTCATTCCTCCCCCAGACCCCAGTATTACATGTGACCTCCTTAATCCACATGTCTGTCTGTCTATCACCAATTGTTGTCCATTCCCCCAAGCCCTCCTCTCCACCCGTGCAACATCTTTTTTTGTCTCCTTCCACCTCTCCCTGTACCCAGCCCCTTTCCCCAGCTCATTCCCACCCCAGACCTTCAACATCCCCTCTGCTCCACCATCCTCCTCTTCCCCTTCCCCTCCCTTTCCCCCTTCCCTGCCCATATCCGTTGCTGGTGCATCAATCTGGCTCAGCCCATTTCACCAAGGGGGGCCAGGCCCAGGAGAAGTGAAGGTGGGATCCTCTACGTGCTTTAGGCCTCCATTATACAGCTGGAGCCAGGTCAGCCTCCCATAGACTTCCAGTATAAAGTGGGCACCAGGTCAACCTCCCATAGGCTCCCATTATACAGCCGGCACCAAGTCCACCTGCCTTAGGCTTCCATTAGAAAGTGGATACCCAGCCATCCTGTCTGGCACCTGATCAATGCCACTGGCCCAGGGAAGCCATGAGTTCTGTCCCCAGCTCCTCCAGGGTCCCAGTCCCACGGGTGTCAGACTCCACTGAGTGTGGTCAGCAGTGGAGTAGTACTGGATATGTCAGGCTCCCTCAGCTTGGGTGGCCTCTCAGGGAGTGTCTACACATGCACTTTAATGTGCATTAGCCTATTTTACTTTGCATTACAGCGGCAAGTAAAAAACCATGCTAATACACTAAAATGCAGTGGAATAGGTTGCTGTGCATTAAGCATCACCTAAAAAGCATGTGCTTGTGCTACTGTGCATTATCGCAGCCTAATGCTCATTTATTTAGTACCTCATACTGGAGGTACTTAATTTATATTCCAATATGAGGCACTTATACTGGAGGTATTTAATGCACATTAGGAAAAGTGCATTAGTGCACATGTAGACATGCCCTCAGGGTACCATTGGTGATGTTATACTACAGCTTCTCCTAATAACCTCATTAGTTGTAATACAGAGACCATGAGCTCCATTTCTTAGTAACAAGGGCCCCTTGAGTTTTGTTGCTCACACACAAAACTAGACACTAACCTCATGCCCCCATTCAGGTCTGGTGCTACCCAGGTTTAGCTGTTGAGCGTGGTACCAGTATAAAGCAGGGCCCTTAGCTCAGTGCAAAGTATTTAGGGTTCCCAGGGCCTCTTGCATGTATCCGTCAGAACAACTTTCTGTTTGCAGCAAACAGCTCCTCTTTCTCACTGATCACCACATGTGTTTAGGTAACTTCATTCACATCCAGTTTTCACCAAACATTGGGACCTTCATGGCAAATAGGGAGACCTGTTTAGCAGGACACTGTGAGCTCTGTTTTGGTGTCTTCTACCCATCTTATCCTTTGCTTTCCATCCACTGGCCTTCTGATATGCCTAGATGCTAATATTCCTCACTTGTCTATCATTTCTGCTTTGGTCCTATACAGTCTGCCTTCAAGTCACCAAGATGCAAGCTGTTACTGAAGCCTACTTTGGCTAATGGGCCTTTGTAAGATTCCTATATGCATTGCTCAATGGCTGCACCAACCTATGCTCCAGTGAGGCCAAGCCCTGTCAAGGAGCCAGACTTTTCCTATTTAAACTGCGTGCTTTTGATGGAGCAGAAGCTATATTTTGCCATCTGTGTGCCCCAGAGCCTGGCTGGGCCCTCTGGGCTCTACAGCCACACACTCAAAAATAAATCTGTCTTGGCTTTATTCTCCTAGATGAAAAGCGAGTTAGTGATGGACATGATGCCCGACGCTTTTGACGACCAGTACATTGAGTGCACTGAGGAAATGGAAGAAATTGCACCAGCCCTGATGGAGAGAGAGATGAAAATATCCAAGATACTGAAAACCACCTGGGAGAAAACAGAAAGCAAATGGAAAAAAGTGAAGAGAAAGAAAACTGTGTATGCTACTCTCCCCAGCGACTTTAAGGAAGAGCATGGGAGAGCGATCATAGCCTACACGGACAATGAATTTCACAAAGAGTTTAATGAGGCTGTGAGGACCTCTGGTGCCTCTCCAGTGGCCTACAACACCAGTTTCCATTTCAAAGCCTTTCATTACTACCTGACAAGAGCTTTACAGCTCCTGAGAGAGGAGTGTGAGGTGATGTACAGCATGCCGGTGTACAGGGGCATTCGTGATGTTATATTTCAGAGCAGTGGTTCTGGTCCCATCAGGTTTGGACACTTTGCCTCTTCCTCGTTGGAAAAAGACATAGCTGAGGCATTTGGGGGCGATTCCTTCTTCACCATCCACACCTGCTTCGGGGTTAATATTGTGCGCTTCTCGCATTATAAGGAAGAGGAGGAAGTGCTCATCCCCACCCATGAGATATTCAGTGTGGATGCAGGAGACAGGAACAACAGCTTTATCCTCCGAAGTACCAGCTGGACCTGCAGCCACTTCAACTGTGCCTACCTGGGGTGTGAGTACTGGGCCGAGCGTGCATAATGCTTGCAGGGGGTTGTGTGTCTGGTTGTATTTGAAAAAAGCAACCGCAGAGAACTTTGTTGCTAGAGACAGACATAGTCACCAGGGCTGGTAGAGACACACAGGCCATGGACCAGATCTACATCAATCTTGTAGGGTCCATGTGTGTGGAATAGTCCTCATGGGATGGACAGCTGCCATTCATTGAACTAAAACCCTCTGTTTCCTTTGCAGATGAGAAGAAAGCAGAATGTATTCACCGCTTTGGTAGGATCCTTTGTGCTTTCATTGCTAGGAAAAGTCCCTTCCCTCCAGGGGGAAGTGGCTTGGCCAGACAAACACCATGAAACAAGTAGAGTTAACTGTTTTCTGTCTGTGTGCATCCAGGTCCTCATACGGCCCCCAGCACTGGAACATCTGGGCAACATCAGCACCAGCACTCCGATGAACATCTGGCACGAGACTCGCATAGCCCCCCTCAGGACACCAAGAGGAAAACTGTTATGTCCAGGGAGCTCTAGACCTATTTCATTTCTGCGCCATACACTTACACGGTGGGAACTTCTCATACCCAACCAGTGAACAAGCCAGCACTGATCGCAGAACCAGCTGGCTGCTGCTCCAGGTGGTCATGAGCCAGGCAGGCATTCAATTTGATGCAACCTGTTGAAGTTGGCTACCAAAGAGACTTAATCATGAGTGTTGATCTCTTAGCTGCCGGTGGCGCAGTTAATCACCATCGCCGCCTTGCAGCGGAGGGTGGTGATGAACTAGCACTTCACGAAGATGACCCAGATCCCATTGGAGAAGGGAAAGTTCATCACAAAACTTGGATGGATGCTTTTCGGAGGGCTGTCTGCCTGCCAGCCAGGCAACGCACACTAGTCAGCGCATTTCATCTCAGGAACCGAGCTGTGAAGCGTGGCCGCATCGGCCGCTGGAGTCAAAGATGACAGTGTGCAGACCCAGCAGGCCTGAATATTACTTTGGATCAGGCTCTTGCCTTCAAAACACATGCTGAGAAGGTCCAAGCAAAGGTGAATGCTTGTATCCAGCTTTGCTTAAGATAACCACATTGAGGTGGTGAGTAAACCTGTCTACACGGTAATAACTCACCAGGACTTTGCTGCTCTTCTGCTGACTCAGCTGGTGCAATACAGAAACGAGCTTTACCAGCACCAGAGCTGGATCCAGAGCGAAATACTGGCTTTTCATATGTCACTGTGCGACGAATAGGATTTCTTTTTGCCAGAGCCCGCCAAGGGTTCACATGGCAACTCGTCCAATCGTTTAATAGTAATCCCTAATACTATTACAGGTTTCCTCCCCATAACGCAGCCTGGCAAGTGGCTCTTTAGACGTTGCAGTGGTAACCTTTGGGTGTTACCAGGCCTGCTCAAGCAGGGATGCAAGCTGCGGTGTCTGTCCTCCCAGATCACTGCATGCTAACACCCCCGCCTTTGTTTGTGCATTACTTTTCTAACTTCCTTGTCCCAAATTGTCCAACCCCCCGGCACTGTGCCAAGCACATTTCTGATAAGGAAACTGTTGTGCCTTGCTTACCTAGCACACCGGTGGCAGCACTCACATCTCCTGGTGCCATCCTCTGTTCAGTTTTATTGCTTAGTTTCTGCAAAGCCTGGACTATGGCTAAGAGCCTTAGCACAACTCAATTTGCCCACGACACTTCCCTCCTTATTCCCGGAAATACGGTGGCATCAGGCAGATGTTGGCTAACCTCTTGCATGAGACTCAAGGCCTGGGGGGTTGCAATATTGCATTTGACATGTACCACAGAACCTGTCTGGCTTTTCAGGTGGCATAAGTACGACTAAGGGACCTTTTTTCTCACGTGCTGGCCAGTTGATAGTAAATAAATCCTTCAGTAATTCAGACTGCAACAGGCAGAGCTGCCTTTCAATCTGTCACGGCTACCCAGGTAACACCACACCAGTGCCGAGCCAAATTTAGCTTTGTTTTTAACCATCTTTTAAACACTGAGGTCCAAGGTTTAGGGAACCATCAACTCTGCAGGTT